ACGGCTCCCTCCCCGGCCACCTATAGCAAGATCTGTGATGCCTACGGTGAAAGGTTGGTTCTTCAGAATGAAGATTGGTAATTGTTCCAACAGAAGCCCAATTACACTAAGTAACCATGTGATCACCTCAGCGTCTTACGAGAGATCTGGCCAATTAATCACGTGTATAATTGGAGAGAAATGTTCCTGAGAGCAAGGGACGGACAGACACTGTTCAAAGACTGTATAATCTGGTACACATGTCTTTTGTGTCTGTTAGACACCGGCAAGGTGGTACGTAATGTTTTAAATGTAATGAAACCCTGATCGTAAATATTCATTTACTTTGTGAAAGTGTATTTCCTTGGACTGAAAGTCACTGTAAACGTACAAATATATCTTATCTTATTTACATTACCGACGTGTTAGCTTATCACGATCCTCAATCTCCCCGTCACCTTGGCCTTTCAGAGCAAACCGTATTTAAGCCAGCTATCCCAGAAACAAATTGATCATTTCGTCCCACAGATTTGAATTTTTAAAGGAATGTCTGTATGTTGGCCCATAAGTTATATTGACTGGCATATAACTTATTTGACATATTACAGGCTTAACGTTCTTGGAGCCATCTCGGCAGTGGTTCAGGTTGTATGTACAATAGAAATCTCTTTTGATCATCAAATTGAAAATCTGACACGCTTATAAACATACGCATATTACTCCCTCATGTTAGCAAACATGTCATTCGAATCCACACGGGGAATAGGACATTGAAAAATGTTTTTCGTTTTCGTGAACTAAAGATATCGGTTGCATCCGATGACCGGATAAGGCATCCATGAAGGGAAATGTCAACGGTCCTTGTCATGAGAACAGATGAAATTATATCTAACAAGACAAGACACATGTTCTTTTACCATGGATTTTCCTACTGATCTTCATTATCTCAGTGTGACCTTGAATCAAACTGAGCCATTTAGGTAGTTTTCCTCTCCCGTGAAATCTCGGTTCAGTACTATTATATACATAACCATGCACGATATTTACTGAATGCATACTAAAACTGAGTACATTATTTTCGATAGAGCATAAAAACAGGTACGGCACTGCGGTTGTGATGATACTTTATTTCACAAAAATAACTAATTCCTAGTTGCGTAATATTTTCAGGAACTGCTAGTGAAATGTACATTCTATAGTGGACCGAGTTAATCGAAGCACGGAAAATCGTGGCCTTGAAACGCCACGCTGAATAAGGACAGTTAACATCGATAACGTTTGCTGGCATTTGTATCTTTATTAGTCGAAATGAACGAGACATAATTCAATTACGTTCCACACGAAATACTGCAATGATATTAGAATTCGCAAAATTTCATTTGTATTAAATACATTTAAATGATGTTTTAAAATGATTGAAAAAACCCAAAGTAATCACGTAAGCGATCATCGTATTCTCATAAACCATCTATAACATGTAAATTCAATAAGATCAAGACAAAATAATATTTAACTCAATAGCCAGTGTATTAAAGCAAACACGGAGCCAACATCATGCACACGGATATCCTTGGAGTTACGAGGAGGAAAATCGTTGTGAATTTATTCAAATTTCTGAAGTCAAGAAAACTGTTTTGTGAAATCTTGGCTGTTTCATGCACTGTCTCCTTGTAAACGAACGATCAGATCTAAATCTATAATATTCTGTAATGTACGTTACAGGGAGGTTGTTAAAATACATGGTCTAATTATGTTTGTTTTTAAATAAGGACCATAAAAGGGACACATCTGTTCTTGAAACTTGTGTCAACGTCATAAGATAATGAAGAAATTAGGGATCGAAGGATCAGGAGATCATGTCAAAAGTGAACGAAACAGAAGGTAATTCATGCTTAATTACCTCTACTGGGAGAACGACGATCAGTCACAATTACGGTCTCATACATCGTTGTTGACGATGAAGTGCAATTCCCGTCCATTAACTTCACAGAGAGTTTTTCAACAGACTCGTCTTGTTACGAAACACTGGTATCTGGAAACAGTCCTTTGTCCCATACAGAATATGCATTTATTTGAAATAAAATTTGCTCATACTTTGTTTTGAACATAACATATACTGTATATATTACATTCGTGTCCTTCGTGTCAAACAAATAATATGCCTCACCTGTACTAACAGGAGTTTCACGTGTGTGTTCCTGACAGGTGTTTGTGAGGTGTGATGTGTATATTATGACTGTCACCAGAGGATTCTGTGGTAGAAACACAATCAGTATTGCTTAATATGATTTGGGTGCGGGGCATATGAAAAATTGTCAGATTGCAATAATTAATGACAATTATATTCCGAAACAGGAATATTCGACAAATATACAACTTCAAAGCCAGAGTGTTCCAATTATGCATTGGGCGTGAAAGGTAAAATAGCGATGACAATTATATGAATGGATCACTGAAAATCAGAAATGACACCAGGTGTTCAAGAAAAGAGTAACCGTGTCTTGCTCTACACATGTCCACCTGCAACACACAATCTGCATAAAATGTTTTTGATGATTGTTATGTGAGAAAATACACCTAATGAAACTGTTATGAAGTCGATACGTTTACGAAATTTCCAAGCACTGAGCGTGATCGATAAATGGTAAAAGACTTAAATCTAGTCTGTATGTTACCACAGTCAAAGTCCGACCACGCAGAATTATTATGAACTATGCTAATGTTTACTTGAAAATGTTCATGGCACCTTTATATTGGTGATGAAGTCATAATTCCAAACTAATGTACGACATTAAACAGAAACCTAATGACAAGGAGTAATGCTTTGAAGTATTTACCGCATAATTAGTGCTAACTCGCCTTGATAATAAAGTTGCCTTATATACCACAGCAATTAAACTGCTCGAAAAAGAAACATTTCCAAGATTTCATGGCTCATGCTGTAATTCTAGGTATTGATTGGCTACTGCGTAGTACCGGTATATTACAATGCCTGAGTTATGTATCATACATAATGGTGAACGATGAAAAACTAGGGAGAAAAAATGTAAACTGCATCTTCGAACGTCAACCTGTTAGTAACATAATATGTCTTGGTATTCAATTATTTACATCATCTGGCAAAATTATGTACACTTTAGTGTCATTATCACATGCATAGAGAACCGCTTGTCCTGAATGTTTTGTGAAAACTAAACTTCGAAAGAGGCTGTTGGAAAATTGAAATCGATCTTCCTGTCTGCACATGGCACAAGTGAAATAGACGCTTAAAACCTCCTATAAATACCATTTATTTGAATTCATAAATCATACAAGAAGAACCACCTGTCATTGCAAATGTAATAGCATAAAAATGATTCATCTAGCATGCTGATTATTAAAACCTATTCGTCTGTAGTGTGATGCAGTATGCAAGTAGCCAGGCTAGAGTCTTGTCGATTTCTGTCCTAACAAGGTTTTCGATCAACTGTCTTCACTGGGCGAGTGTTAGAGCAGAGATACCATATCAATCTATTAAACATTTCAAACAAGTAAATGACATCCCTAGAATCATAGGGCCTTAGCTCTTGTCGTGCGAAGAATACGGCTCCAGAGATTGTGCTCGGCAAGCCTGCTTTGAGGATTACTATATTTTGATTAACCAGGCGCATGGATGTACGGTAATTAATACGTGCATAGGCGTGCTGGACAGTCAGTTGGCCCTGCTCACTGACCAAAGAAACATTCTCAAGACCTGGCCGGACAAGTGAGAAAAGCCAAAACCGTTTCCTGATGTTTTGGACGATAATTTCATTCAGTTAGCATTTCTTCTCAAGAGACTTCCACCGCTTGAGAACTTTTCGAGGATCGTGAATGAGATTTACCTATCAATAAATCGGCATTTTATACCTCTTGTGGGCCTAAATCTTCCTGAATCGAAACACGGATTTGATGCAAGGATTCTCAGCAGTGATCACTGACAGTTCTCTTTAATTGTCTCACTTAAGTGCCTTTGATCTATGTTCATTTAGAGTAAAGGTGTTGGCCGCCGTCAGGAGACTTGTTTCGGAAGGTTGTCAGACATTTCAAAAGTTGCATGAAAGGAGATCATGCGTTCCGTGTAGTGATACTATCCACAGCAGAATCGTTTAATGGAATTTCTTTAATTGTTATCGACGGAGTAGGGAGTAGTTGGTGTTAACGACACAAGTGGCCCGCGTGAGTCAGGAAGGATGGTCCAGCGCTATTATTTGCCAATATTGCTCGTCTGAACTTCTCACTGTGAAAGTCGCCCAACGAGGGCACACCTTTCTATGGAAGTACACCCAACTGTTGTCAGTGTGGAATCGGCCCACGTGGAACTGTCTCCCTCGGTAGTCACAGACACCTACAGGTCTCACCATCAGAAATTGCTCCTCACCTTCACCCATCTGTTTAAGAACAAGGAACCCGTTGTGTTTAAACTTCTCGATACAGACGGTGCATAATATGAAAATGATTGCTTTGTGTGTTTAGTTTCTCACGCCTATCATCCTGTGTTACATCCCGAATGCCTACTCTTAAGTGTAATGTTTAATGTTATAATGGTTGTCAGTGTAATGACAGAGTTGCATTCCGGTGGGAGTTGTGACAACGTGCAATGTAGGTCATTGCTTTCGCACAACAATGGATATATTTCCTAACAAAATTGAACCATCATATTTTCCTTGTTTGCATACGGCTCCTCTATCTCCTACGCATATATAAAACTATTCCAAGCTCCGAGGAAATAATACCCCTCGTCTAATGACTGTATGAAATATGCAGCATATGTCAACATCTGAATAGAAGTGACGTCAAATTCATTTGGTTGAAATAAGCATTATTTGATTCTTTTCATTCGGATTTTTTCACTTGTTCATAATTATGTCAAACGAAATTGATTGCAATACGACCCAGACAGCTGTGAATGGTATCAGCACGTTGGCGATACAAGAGTGTTACATTACATGGCAATAACAAGGCTAAGTGTTGTAGACAAGTCACATGCATGGACGCAAGGATAAAGACAATGGCCGTCAACGTGCAAGAGACTCCTTGGCGAATTCACATACGCCTGTTGTATTTCACAACTGTGTGTTTGACATTGCTTATGGCCACTGTCATGTGGTATGGCTATACAGAACTTAGGAAACTTCGAAGTGATATGCACAACAAAATATCGAACAAAGATGTCGCGGAATTTCGTATATGGCACAGGCCTTTCGAAGATGTGGAATCACCTCCTGAATGGACTTACAGCGAAGATTTTGATAAAACAGAATTTGAAAATAGAAAAGACGAGAGTACCCGGTCAAAACGCCACGCAGATCCCGAGGGATCTGGCCTTCCCGACGACTATGTACTCATGAACACCTATTCAAGAATACCGGTAAGTTTATTTACAAATCATCAAAAACCTCCCATGAATAAGTTTCGATTACAAACAAAATATTACAGTAATTAATGTCACATTGCAATGGATTCAAAGCTTACAAATCGCCAGTGGAATCGTACAAGGCTTTATTCCCCATTTAGACGTTAAATGTATCGTTTACTAAACAACTTCCCTCCCCAACAAGTCACCTCGTTGCTGTAATGATTTCTCGAGGAGTATTGATTTTCGCTCGTGGTGTGTTTCTGTGTTGTGTAAAGTGACTAGTTCCGTATGCTAAATGTAATATAAACAAAGTAAGGATTAAACACGAACCTTGATTCATACAATTAAAGGAATAATGCGTTTTGTTGACATAAACCGTGTGTCTCTTTGGTAAAGGATCACGTATATGATAAAACATGATGTTCCCTTATGATAATATACATTATCCCGACTCTGTTAATGCTGTAAACATATTTTCTTGCTAAGTATATATTAACGAAATTTCTTTTTCTGAAAATATATGACAGTGTACAAATAACATTGTATGCCCGGAGTTCCTCTGGCTGCTCCATTTGCAGCTATTTGATACTATGGGTTTCAGTCTTGCAATCACTTTTGTTGTTGAACAAGATGTTTATTTCATGCATGGATCTGTAAAATATGCCATCCCATGTAAGTTGTGCGTTTAAACATGACTTTTCTCACGTTAAGCGCTGAGACAAAAAAAAATTCAATTTCGTCTCCCATGTCTATCTCTCACTGACGGCAAAGATTGAACTGACTGACTGACTGAGTTTGGTTTTACGCCGCTTTTAGCAATATTCCAGCAACATCACGGCGGGGGACTCCAGAAATGGGCTTCACACAATGTACCCATGTGGGGATTCGAACCCTGGTCTTCATCGTGACGAACCAACGCTTTAACCACTAGGCTACCCCACCGCCCCGCAAAGATTGAACACATCTTTTTATGGAAACTAGGCATTATGGTAACTTACAACTATCCCTGAAGTACATTCTCGCTTGAATAATATATGCAATTATTTTAGCATTCTAATACACCATTTACAACATAAAACCACTCTGTGGTCACAACTCGTTTGATTATAACACGTCTGCCCCTTAATCTGCAATTCATATTGTTCTTTTGAATTACACGCACCACAAAAAGTATGTTATTCAATTTCGCTTGTGAAAATACAGACAGAAATTAAATTAACAAATAAAAATAATCATAAAAAGTTTTCCTTTCAAGTTTTCCCTCTTTTTCCTTGTTATGTAATGTCAAGTGTGTCTTTGACGTCCCTGGACATAAACCCTTATAGAGTTTACATAGTGTGCGTGCAAAATAAACGTAAACTGATAACACCACATCTTGCCTGCCAAACTTAACTTAAGCGGTGTGAATAACGTCTACCGGAAGAGCGCCTTCCGACCTCACCGCTGTTTTCCCATAGGACCGCCGTGGAGACTCAGTTCATTGTTCGACAATGAGGGCTTCCGTGACTCGTCCTTTCCGCTTTCCGCCTCTTTATCGATCAAATTGGGTCGAAAATCAGCCTTTTATTCTTCTCAAATGCATCTGAAGCCTTGAAAAGGCAACGCAATGTAAACGAGAGCAAATATATTGCGTGATCTGGCCTTATTTAATTGTCAGAGGTAATGTGCTAATAGTTGTGAATTAGTCGACAGGGCATTTGTCGTTTGTCCTCAGACAAGTTGTGTTTAGGAAATCATTGCTTACACTTCTTAATCTATTTTGTTAACAAAAGCAAGAAAAGAGGAAAATAAACATTTTGGTGTTATAAAATTGTCCTTTCGAAACGCTTGTTATTAAACAGGGTAAAGGTTCATTTTATTTCTTTTTCACTTTTTTATCATTTTTTATGAATTATATATTTCTTATTTGCATGCTGTCTTTTTGCATTAAGTTCATGTATTTTAACTTAATTTAAATTTAGGAAATATGAAGGCCGGATGGTCTCAAATAATTTACCTATTATCTTCCAATGTGAATAAAATAATGATGAAAAATATAACATTGTTTTATATGTTTTATGCTGATATCTTTAAAGGGGCGGTGGGGTAGCCTAGTGGTTAAAGCGTTGGCTCGTCAAGCCGAAGACCCGGGTTCGAATCCCCACATGGGTACAATGTGTGAAGCCCATTTCTGGTGTTCCCCGCCGTGATGTTGCTGGAATATTGCTAAAAGCGGCGTAAAACCAAACTCAGTCAGTCAGTCAGTGATATCTTTAAAACAGCCATGGTAAGCATAATGCCTTGTGGTATTAAGATGTCATGGCTGAAACACTCAAGGGATGCTAAAGGATTTCATATGACATTATATTAAACCACACTATCCTTAGATAACAAACACGTTCGTTGCTTACCGTTTAAGTTTGTTGACTTTTCATACTTCAAAATACGTTCCACGATATCTATTAAGTATAGCAGTATCAAATTTGAGGCACACCAAAAGCATTATTTGGTAGTGATCACCGCTGAACGATTATCCTATTGTCTTTATAATAATAATTTCAAATATATCGTTTCTTTTGATCTAATTCCAAATAGTTTTTGCATCTAATTCAATTCTTTTATAATAATTTTTATATTTACTTTATTTTATATTCACAAGAAAGATGATGTTTCTTGGCATTTGTCAACAGTGGAGAAACAAAGATTAGATTATACTGACTACATATTTTGGCTTTTTTTCTGATGAAATTTTAAGATGTCCTGTGGCCGGTCATAATATTTTTCCAGCCATCTTATAATGCCCATGTTCTGATTATAAGCTTATTAGATTATTAGAAATTCATTTCAGTGATATTTTGTCCTTACATGGGTTTTATGCTGCATACTATTTACATCACACACATCGACATCATGTCTGTGTACACATTGTGAGCCCTGATATTCTCACATGGATATTATGTTGAATTTTTGGAGGACACACGGCAATGGTTTTGCATCAGCTCAGATACAAAATCAGGAATATTATCACCGAAATATATACACAATAAATTATTGTATCAGTTATCAGTGAGTTCGTAAAATCGATATTTCACAATACTCGAGTAAGTATATTTTAAATATTTTGTTATGAATTGTTTACGTTTTATTTAATAATTATTACGTCTTTCACAGCTGTCATGTAAGTACTGTCGTTATTGAATCAAAATACGTGTACAGCCCTACAACTACTTTGTTAACACAACGACAGAATTCATAACAAGAAGAAATATGGTCCCATGAAGTCTTTATGTGAAACACGTGTGGTTCCGTTTAACTGCATGTACATGTAAAACATGTAAATAACCAACATCATTGCCTCGGGTGTACAGGTTCGAATCTATCACATAAAGCCCGGCAACCGAATATATGGAACAAATGCAATCGCAAAATTCATAGATGTGATTTTACTTTCATATAAATACAGTCTTCACAGGTCAACCCATTGTTTGCAAATATAGATGTAGTTATCGTGATTAATGATTGGGGAACATAGAAAGGTAGAACGGTAGAAAGCAAACATATTAGATTATGTCCTGTATGTATTTTACCAAGACAGGAAAATGAATATTATTTTATGTTTGAATATCCATTTGATGATAATTTAAAATGTGTAAAATCATCTCAATACTTCTGTAAAAATCATTCATCAGGTAAATTATCATTATTATTCATGTCAGAAAATCCTTGCCAAATACACATCACTTAGTCCAAAGAAGCGTGCTAAATTTTTGAATTCTCACAATACGTTTACACCTCCGATATAACTATTGATGATCAAGTACTGGTTTCTTGTACTTGGAATATGCACCGGTGGCCTAATTACGGATATAAACTGAATTGAAGTGGACTGAATGAACTAGGGCAGCTGATAAAGTATTAACCCATAAAATACACATTGCGGAGGGGTGGGGGTGGGGGTGGAGGAGATAAGACAGGTTCTGTCGTGTCACACGTAAACATTAGGACACAAGAGTAGTTGGCTGCGAGAAGGTCCACATCGCCTGCTTCTTCGATATTCGTATATTTCCACATTGAACATCATTGAGAAAGATATTACACCCACAGCACATGCCTTCAATTAGATGACATTTCCATTTTCCATCTTTATTTCACAACGAATGTTACTAGTTACCGAACCGTTGCAGATGCATCCAAAGTCATAATATTATACTATCAACAGATCAACGTTGGTGGTAGTAAGATTTTCTATCTGGATATAGTAGTGATAACTTTCTGTTAGCTTTCATTAAAAGATTAGAAGATGTGATAGAGTTTTCTTTTATCTGTTGGTAGTTTGGAGATGTGTCACAATGCAAAATTTACTTAAGATTTCTTGGAGAGACAGTTTTGTGTGAGTGTTTGCGTTCCTCTCTGTCTCTCCTGTCACACCATCTCTGTGTTTATCTCGCTCTGTTTTCCTGTCACACCATCTCGGTGTGTTTATCTCACCCTGTCGCTTTGTGTGTGTCTCACTCCCTCGCTCTCCGTACATAGCATCTAGTTGAACTGTTATCGATACTGAACACTCATGTATCTTTCATGATTATCATGTCTTCTAATCGTGGTTCGACATATGTATGTCCCTCTTAAACAAAATATAATTATCAAATGCATAAGTGTTTCTATGCAGGGTATTTAATTTGAATTGAGCCAAGGTTATTAACACACATATTAGATAAATTGGTAGCATCATGTAATCCTGTATTTCTATATGGTATATGATAATATTCTTACTGTAAACGATGAATATTAACCAAGCCATATGTCAAGTCATATTTGCTATAGGTATCCTACAGATTAAGAGATTACCTTCTCTTATGCCTGTCAAAAGAGTTTTTCAAATACACTCATGCCAATAATGGTTGTCACCCCCTTCAATTATTGTTTTGGGGAGGGGGTGGGGGTTTGGGGTGGGGAGGATGGTGACAACCTTTATTGGCATGAGTATAATATTACAGTGCAAAGAAATACGTGATATAAGAAAAGAGTAAGTG